TTCCACTTCGTTTTTAGGTAAGCATTTTAGCTGTTCATCGTATTTAACGTCTCTGATTATATTTAATCATTACAGTGTTAGAAAATCGGCTTCCCTTTGCAACAGTCATATTTATGATGTATTTTCTTTTGTCTCTGCAACAGGTATCAGCCGGAGGTGTCGCTTAGAAGCGGTTAGAGCCACTTTCTGGTTCTTTCCTCAAAAGTTTTTTGAATTTAAATTTATTGACTGATTGAAAAGCGTAATAATGTTTTTAATGCGTTTTTAAAATGTTGCCCGAATAGTTGTTTTTGATTCTTGATTAAGTTAACTTTGCTTCTCATTTTTGATGTTTGGATTAAAGTTACTCAGTGTTTCGGTCCTATTATTGACTTTCAGTTAGAAGCCACTTTTGTAAAGTTCAGAAAAACGACATTTTCTCTGATCTTTCCGATTTTGGCTTTATCCTGTTGTCGAGGATAATTAGTGTTGGATTCCGATGTATGTCTCGCGCAAGTGATAGCCTTCACTTTAATATAATATATATTGCCATTGAACTCCCATTTAAATATTCTAAACCGAAATGCTGACAAGCGCAAGCTGTGGACGAATGGCCGTTGCCACGGTCCCTGAAATTAGCGCTGTTAATTTTCCGCGCTATTTCTGATATGCGATGGAACATCCTGCAAAATTCAGGCACAGTAGACTGCTCTCCTCTGGGCGCCGGTACTGTCGTGAAATTTATTTACTTATTCATCCTGTGGAAAGTTTAATCAATGGTTCGAAAGATAGTACATTTTCGGGGATCTCAAATACGGAGGGCTCTGAATGTAGATGACGTTTCATTTTGATTACGGTATCAGAAAATTCAGGGTATGTATGGAGATAATTGCTGGTTTGTATGGAGAAAATTAGCATTAGGGTTCGACCAAAGAAATGCTGGAATGCTGGTTTTCTTGATCATACCAGAAATGACCCCATCCAATAAAGCCGCAGCTGTCCAAAGGTTAGTTGATGACAGCTGAAAAATGGATCAGACAGTTTTGCACTCGTTTCTCGTTCTTCATTTTTTACAGTTAACAGACGAAGAAAACTACAATAACTTGACTACATCAAGAGAAATTAACAGAAACCGACGATCAAGCAGTATATAGTGCAAATGGCAATAGCGATACACCAGACCCAATCGTCGCTGAAGTTGGGACATTAGGAAACCAATCACACTTATTTATCATTGCCGTAGTCATCGTGATTGCTTACTGGAGAGTCTTTACCAACAAAGACTATCCGCTCCATGATGTATCTGTTTCTTATTTTCCTTCAGAGTGAAGTTTGCTAATGGCAGTAAGTTTTCAGAGGGATCTAGGTATTCTTTATTTAAAATTTTCAAAGGTTAGTTTATAAAAATAGACTTTTTTATTCGATTACTTAGATTCGATTTAGTTCGGATGCAGGAACTGCGCAACCAGTCCTGAATCATATTATTATCCTCAATGATCTTGTGTCTCAAGTTGCGACACATCTGTAAGTTAAACGTTGGTGTAGTTGCTCCCAGTTTTTTGATGACTAGCTCTGTTTCGGTTTCGGGATCGTGACTGTTCTCTATACACTTTGAGTGTTTTGGTATAAAGGAAAGGTTGCAATAATATGGTAATGAGTTTAAAACAAAACACGCACACTAATTCAAGAAGAACGTATATTGACAATCTGCTACTTGTATATTTACTAACAACTGTATGTGTATTTGTTTTTATTCTGTTTAGGATATTTGTTTATGCTGTTTAACATTATTGTCCTCGCTTCTAAAATCAGGTCTTTGCTGGACAGGATTTCATACTCCCTTACAGGATTACATTCCTAAGTTCAGAAATCTGTTTATCTGTTAATTAAAACCTGATTAATTGGAAATTTCGAAATGAAGCGAATAAAAAATGTCATACAAAATTAGCTCGATAATTGGAAAACCTTAAAAATTAGTTATTCGGGAAAAATGTTGTACCAATCTTATAATATCGATACACAGAATTTTTATTAATTCGAAATAAAGTTTGTAAATTATGAGCTCTTTTTATTCGTCTGTCTAATGATTCCATCGTTTAGTCTTTATGTAGTTTTAACGTTAGATTTGCAAAGTAACATTTATGGACTATAGATAGATGACAGCAGCGTCGTAGAGCGGAACTAGCTCTGATCTTACCCGGTAAAGTTAACGTAAAAGTGAAGTAGTTGTATGTTGGACATATCGCTTTAGGGAATCTGTAGAAATTGAAATAGAGCAAGAATATTTATTGTTTCAGAGAGTCTGGTTTTGTTTTTGACTGATGGCTATTCTAGACCATATGATAACAATTACAACGCTATCATTTGCATTGCTTACTCTTGTTCCAGGCTGAAAACAAATCTTGTGGACTTTTAACATACGATAATTTGTTAATGGAAATTTGAAATTAACCTCTTTGACTTAATTTGACAATTTATTTATCGATCATTGAATTTCGAATTACTTTTTTCTTATATAATGTTATCTCGTTTTTGCAAAAATTATAATTCAGTGATTTTTCATCAGATAGTAAATGAATAAAGATAACTATTATAAACATTGCCCTTCCAGATGTCCTTTTATTATCTCTAAGAGGATGCGTACTGAATTTCGTTTCCACCACCGTTTTCATCATGTGATAAAGAAAATGGGTTTAGGATTTAGACCAAAAGTTATTTCTGAATTTTTCTGTAACATTACGAAGTATCATCTCAGATGGGGATATAACATCTTTTTTGCCAATACACGCTGAATATTATCCCCAGTTCTTGCATGTATGATCGTGATTAGAGTATTTTTCCCAAGGAGATTAATCTGAAAGTGTGAAAAAATGTTTTCTATGCCTGGTTTTACTACATTGGCGTTGGTGGATCGTTTTAGAGCTCATTACAAGTTGTCACAATAGCCTAGCGGCTAGAAAAATAAAACAGCTGACCTCACCTTGACATTCGATACTCGTTGCCAACTCTCCACGCCGTCGACGCAGAACTTGATTTTAAGACACTCGAAATTCAAGGGCTGTGTTTCTTTTCATTTGTTAAGCAGCGGATTCATTCCACCTGTCCAGCGATTTCGATCTTTCATTAATGAATGAATAGTAGATATTTTTATGAGATCATGGCAGCCTTAGCTATCCGGTCCTAAATCCTCCCTTCTCTGCTTGCCCTATGACTGAGCAAAGAAGATATACTACTTATTGTGCAAGACTCAGTCGTGGCTAGTGCCCAGTGTTAATGAATAGCCTCGGTATAGACAAAACTGTCTTTGTTGGGTGCATTACGTTCTTGTGTATTGAGGTTATCAGCCTGATCTGTTAAACGGAGTAAATACTATGCCAGCTCTTCGACTAGTTTAAACAAGGGTTATTGAATAATTCACTTGGTCCATTCATATTTTCATCACGAGTACAAGTCTGAACATCATCTGCTGCCAGCGCGTTCAGTCATGTTTAGATTGATATTCGTCATGCTGAGAAAAAAAATATGATTTGTAAATTGCTTGAGTCAAAGGTCAAATCAAATACCAAATATCGTCTTTCATGTGCACTTCTTGATCATGCAATTCCACCTTCTTTCAGTCCTTCGGTCGGAAATTGCGTCAGGTAACTCAGTTGTGAGTGACTGAAACTTTCATCATCTTTGCTCCAGATTTTAAATGCGTCTTATATCAAGTTAGCTCGTGATTTGGTTGAATCCAGCAGTGATATTTTGCTCGACAGTCGAAAAAGTCATTTTCCAC